ATCTACGGATATGTGTGTGTGTTTGTAAATTCATTGAATTCAATATTGCATGTTGTTGCTATTATTAGTTTTCATTGTATGCAGCATTATTTGTCGCTCGTTTACACTTCCGCAGCGCACGATCAACGACATCCATCCATCAAGTGGTGCATGCACTTTATAGTTCGCGTTGCGGGGAAAACAATCAAATTGCAACGACATCAGAGCGGCAACAAAACACCACATTGTTGTTGTATTTTTATATGAAATCTTTTTTAAGTTATTTGCGCGTTTCCTCCGTAAAGCATGAATTGCCTTCACCAATATCGTACACACAATAGACCATTGAAAGTGCTATTTGCTTTGCATACTATTAGGCGCGCACACACATAAGTCCATAAAATAAATGCTCACTCGTGTGTACTCGTATATATACCCATTTGTATTGGTGCACCGATGCATGAATGTCCTATCAGCTTATATGTATGTATAATCTAATACTTGCATTATGCAGTAGGAAACTTTTATATGCCGATGACCCTGTGGGAATTTCGGAATCAATTACCGAAGTAGCTTAGAAAACATGCTATTAGCGGAAGATAATTAAACGAAAATGTTAAAAATATTGTTTTTTTTTAATATTATCGAACCAAATCATTACAATTTAATAAAAGTGGTTCAATTATTAGTTAGGGTCTACAATATTTTTTAAAAATAATCTAAAGTTCTTGAAATTATTAAACATTATCTGAAAATGTTTATGCGGTTGTTATTTCAGTTGATTAGTAGAAAAAGAATTATGTTAGTCCTCGTGCTCTGCTAGACTATTCACCTTTATTTTTTCGACCTAAAAGTCGTATATAGTATGCTCTCTCACATTAGATTAGTCCTTACCGGAAAGTGCTTTATTGTTGTTGTACTATCCTAAAGGAATTCGAAATCTTTATTTCAACACTTATATACGAACTATTGATATATATAAAGGTTTCGCGGACCCGACTTACTCAAGTGCATAATTGCTATACTTTAGATCGATCGTTGGAAAATACATAGAAAAGGCTTTCTAATGTGGCCTAGTGTATTTGTGTAGTATAAAAAATATTCATTAGATTCACCAGATGTTCAGAGGTTGTCGTGTAGAACCCCGATCACATCAAAACACTCTATACAATTATAGAAAAAAGCTAGCTCAAGTATTATAACAGAATATCGTAAAAAGATGTAAGCATCAAGCATATAACATTACCGTCAAACTATACCGAATTAGCCCGGAGAGATCCGGAAAGTATTTAATATAATAATCGTAAAGGCAATAAATATAAAGGTATGAATGATCGACCTATTTACGAAGCCTTAATTTGTTTATTTATAGACCAAAAGATATCAGTAAGTTAAGAAAAAACTGAAGAATATTTTGATCCTCGATATTTATGTGTATTTATAGCGAACGCCAAGAACGTTAAAGAAACTTTGGGTTGGTTGCCAGGATCACCAGGCTATCATTAGGCTCATTGTACTTCCGAGTAGTAATTAATTAGGCCTTATCCAGCAATTTTGTGGATTCGGAAAAAATACATGATTTTTTTATCCCTGCTGCCCAATGTAATTTAAATTATGCCGTCTCAACCGGCCGAAAATGTAATGTTCTAGCGTCGCAATCCACCGAATCCACTTTACCAATTTTTTGAATGTGAAATGTTAAGGGTAAGTGCCCTGTGATCACCCCTACAATTTTATTAGGTTTACTCTTGCCTTTTACCTCAAATAGCTGTATGAGCTTAGGGGAGTTGTATTCCTGGCGACCCCTGAGCGAGCAAACTCGCTTCATTTCCTTCTGTTCCTATAAGACTGAGTACCCATTTTTACCCAGTTTCTCACTGAGAATATAGTTATTGCCTCCCTTTGTAACCTAACTAAGTGAGACTTAGTATATAAACTACGGATAGCTTTATTTGCTGCTTGGCTATTCACTAGAAGGTTAATAGATTTGCTGGTTAGAGCAAAAGCCTACTTGATACCTTCTGTTATTCCAACAATTGCGACCTGAAAGACTGAATTGTAGAAAAAAACTTTACGAACACGAAAAATTTTAAATAAAGTTACTTCCATTATTTTTCTTCCCATAAATTCCCTACTCGGTCTCTCAAAATGCATAATAAAACTTAAGGACGTTCCTTTATATTTTCATATGACTATAGGCGGTGGCATATGATTGCATACTAATATCAACTTTTCTGCATAACAATATTTGCCTACCAACCAATGAGTGTATGTCGGGGTACGTAGTATGTATAGATGTAAAAGTCTCTGAGCACACAGCCCATAGATAAACCCCATTTGCTTTTATAGTCGTGTTGAGCGCATTCAATATGAAATCAATTATGCTCATCTGCATATAAACGGCTTTAGTGTGCCGCTCTACCCCACTTATTTCCGGTCAAACCTTGCTCTCACCATTTGTCGTACCCCCCTTTTTTCATACCCAGCCAACGTCTTTTAACCATTAAACGATTGTCGTCGTCGCCTGTGCATCCGGCTCATCGTCGAACTAAATTTGTCAATTGAAGTGCATAAAAGCCGTATATTTTTTTCACCTTCTTTTATATGCAACTCCTTGAGGCATTCACAGAGTCAGCACGCGCGGCGTTAGTTTGTCGGTTAGGCCGTGCAGTGCAGTTTGCTTCGGTGTTGACTCTGGTGTCGGTAAGTATATATATATATATTTAACTTGGGTATAATAGATCCGACATATTGTTGCACCAATGCATTGCAGTTGTTGTTGTCGCACAAATCTCACGTTGCACCACACTCTAACGTTAATGTGCAAAAGTTGCACTTAGTTGACTTGGCCTGTTTATAGTTGACTTGACTCGTGAGTGTTGTCTGCCTGGCTAGGCGCATTCGTTCGTTATTTATGAACCCGATTTGCGTGCAAACAAAAATAACCGTTAACCATTGAAAGGAAGTCAAAATTCACTTCGATGGAGTCTCTATCACATACAAGTTTTAGAAAACAGTGTAACGGTAATATAGTGCATTATCAAATATTCGAATAACGTTTTTAACATTTTCCTTTAATAAAGGAAGAAAATACTTGACTGCAGCATTTTGTGGGTCCTTACAGATAAGAATAATAGTGTATCTTTTTAATAATAGCAAATGATGTATGGTGAGAGTTCTGTCCTTAAGATATGGCATTTATAATAAAAGCCAATTTCACTAAGGCTATAAAACCGTTAATTCACTGCTGGGTACGTGAAATTTGGGGCTCCATTTATATACCGGTCGCACCGTAGACGGTTCACGTAACTGGATCAGCTCTGTATTTCTGTTCGAAGAATGCTGCTGCTACAGCTATAACTACCCTTACAGAATATCTGACTCTAGGAAAAAACCTACTGGATAGGCTCAGTCTGTTCGCTTTCATTGGAGATTATTAGATCGAAGTTAAGCCTAGCACGATTGATCCTACTCTTGCTCGCCCAAAGGAATGAACTTTTGAAAAAGGAGTTGAGTCGAACCAAGTTCAACCCAATTAAAACAGATATACGGTACCCTAACCTCTTACACATATCACTCTTCTAAACAGGGGATGATGGGAAGAATACACAGAAAGATTTCAGGACATTGAGTCGATTGAGACCGAACATCTTCCTCTGAAATTGAGTTGAGAAAGTATGGAGGGGCTGTGATGTGAAATACCAGTTGCGTCTTAAGTTCACTCGAAGGCGTTTATGTATCTTCTTGCTCTCGCCTTCTTGCTGAATAGATAATTTTATCGACTACCTCGACCATCAACTGTTCTAAGTAAAAAAGTAATTTCTCCATTATAGTAAGCCTCAAAGTTCGAATACAATATTTGCCTTCAAATTGCGTATCGGACTTATTGAAAATAGTATTATTAACAGAGAATAGTTACACTTGTTGGTCGGATCTTCAAAAAAAATTTAGATTTTAAAAATACTGGACCGACTTTAAACCTTATAACATCTGTCATATAACTTCAAACAAAAAATGTTATACACTATTGAAATGTTGAAATATTTTAACTTTTTTTTTTCTTAAGAGTCTATCTCTCCAAAGAAATCAGTTTCGTCCAATACCCAGAAAAACAGTTGATTTTACCATATAGTATAATTAATGGTTTAAATTAAAAGAAAAAACAGTAATTTTTGATTCTTGTTATAAGATTAAGAGGTCAACTCAACTGAACGCCAGTTCGTTGTGTTACTCCTATATAATTGATGAGAAAGACCGTCATAAGTCGACAAAGCATCAGAAATTTGTTGAGACGGCTAATACCAGTGTGGCTATGTCTCTTGGCTCGCCGAAGATATATTTCACTAGATGTTTTAAGCTTCTTCAGCTTTGTAAAAGCTAGACAATGAAGAAGAAAGTATCTTGATATTTCCACCTCACCTTTCTCCATTACAACGTTAACAACTGGCATCCGACAAGATTTTTAGCTTTACTGCAAGTATGTCTATTGAACAATGTAAAGTAAGAACTCCTACGATTGTGGCAAGATGAAATTTGCTAAGGCCAAGTAGTTCAGTAGATTTTCTGCGTTCCACTCTAGGCCGCAAGGATCTCGCAATTGCGCAGAAAATGTTCTTCGACCTACGTCTGCTAAGCACATGCGAGGTCCGTAGGTCCAGTGCTAGAACGCAAGATGTCAACGGAGATCTAACCCGTTACAATACGGGTGGCAAGAGTGCTCCCTCTTGCTAGCTCACCGGTTTCATAGTTTCCAACGATTACGCTATGAATCTCTGGAACCCAAACGAGTACGATAAAGAAAAGGCTTGATACTATTTCTAGTGAGGACTGACAATACAGACATTATTAATTAATTTATTAGGCATCTTTTCCATCATAACTGTTTTTCTGTTTGTTCTTTAGTTTAAATATTTCTCTATTTTATACATATATATGTATATGTAAGTAATGTAATATAATATACATACATATATGGTATATAGTTTACGCATATCACTAAATTAAAGAATTTCCGTCCACAGATTTTACAGTGAAGAACGTCCGTTAAGTGCAAACCCTTCTAAATTGGCTACAATTCCCAACTCGAAACAGATTCTACATATATATTTGCAGCAGCGTTAACACGATACCTCCCATCCGTCGTCTACTACTAATAATAACTACATTCAAACATACAAGGTATAAATATACTTATATATATTTAAGCGCCAGTTGTTTTTTGGACATCTGGCATAAAGGAGCACATCGATTTAAGGGCGCCACTTTAACGTCCAACCAAGTGTCAACATAAACATCAAATTGGCGGTTGGTGTGTTATTTTTCGGTATTTTTAAATACATCATAATTTCGCACAAGATCCGGTGATGTGGGACAACCCCCGCAACGGGAAATGCAACAAACCCAACGTTATATACCGTCTGTATCTGATTTATATGGGACGGACGAGATAGAACTCCTACTGGACGAAATACGCGAATTAGAACCGGTCTGCTGTCAGCTGGACGATGAACAGGATTTTGAAATAGCTGGCAGCAGAGCCGGTGAGCTGTCACTATCCTTAGAATCGCCGCTGGGCACGTGCACGTCGTGGGACTCGCACGCCAATTATAAACAGCGCAGCGGCCAAACGCCACTGCCATGGGGTGTAGCCCTACACTGTGATCCGCAACACTTGAAAACGCCTACAGGGATTGTGCGTATTCTCTTGGTGGTCAGTAAAAATCAATAACACTTCATACTTGTATACCTATTTATATAAAATTTCCTGTTTTATTTTGCAGTTATCGTCAGCCGCTTGTCTAGCCTGCGAATGCTCCGCCGGCACGGTACAAGTCGGCCTCTTTTTACTGCCACTCATCGGACGCTTGAGATTAATGGTCTTCTGTGCGATCTTCTCCCTACTAATCACCTGTCTGATGTTATTTCTAGACATTTCACATATAGCACTCATGTTCCCATTCAATTGGACTAAAGTTGTAAGCAAGTGATTTTTATTTAATTTTGATATAATTTTCAAATATTTATGAATACTATATATGATTTAATATAAATATCTTTACATTAATTGTGTATTTGTTGCAGAATACATGGATGTACCTGAGCATTGGTTTGATATTAATTTTGAGCTCGACATTGGTCATGCATATGGTGCTCTATGCTGAGGAATACGTTTTGGTCAACAAGCACACCAAAGATACACTGTTCACTTCAGCGGTATGTGAAGATAAACGACTAGACATACCTATATACTATACATTCTTCTATAATCCTTAGTTCGAAATGAATTCCGGTCATTCCAGATAGCCAAATTCGTCTTTAGTAGATAAACTCTGCACTCTTGGCATAGGTCTGCAGTAATTCCAGTTTTCGGCTGGCAGATTACGACAAAATACAATAGTTTAAGTTCTGTAGTCTCTTATTTAGTTTCATTTTGGTTAGCGTTCTAGCTTTAAAATGAACCATTAGAAGTCCTCCTCTGAACTACTTGCACTTAGCAAGATCAATCTCTTATCATTTTGTCACTTTCTCCTTTATTGCTTTTTCCAGACTGAAATTGAAATATCTCGGTAGTTAAACCGTTGGAGAAGCTAGCGAAGTGGCTGGGATTGGTATTAGTGGTGAGCTCAAAACGCTTCATCGACCTACGAGGAGTTTTGCGGTAACACAAAGGACAAATATATCTCCAAGTGAGATCAATCGATTTTTAAATCAACCTTATGACCTAACCTAACTTAACCTAGGCATTGTGGTAATGATAGAAAATATTCCCTTTAACATTTTTAACAATGCTGTCGATTTAGTACTCATGGGTAAATAACAATTAGGGCCCGTTCGGTTACATAGATCGGAGAGTCATAGGAATAGTACTTTAAAGAATCGCTGGCTGGACCACTTAAAGTGGCTTAAGTGGGCATCTATAGGGGTGGTTCGTATCAGTCGGGGAATTTATTCATTGCAGGTCATTTGCTTGGATCGTAAAGCAAATCGAGCCCTTGATCTCTTAATTTCAGGACGTCATTGAGATTTTAAATATTCTAACTCCTTTTTTGTGAATGTATACCTGCAGGTAGGTTTCTAAACAGTGTAGTTGGTGCTCAGGAAGCATCAAAAGCTATCCAATCCCTGACCGAAGTCGCGACTACTAGAAGATATAAAGTTTTTTCATCTGCGTCCATACGTCTATTGTGCTTCGGTGACTCCGATTCCATAATTATACAGTTATCAACAGATAATTTCGAGTTCTTACCATAGTTATAAATTAGACCTCTTGTAACACTTCTATTAGGTACAATATATCCTTGATAATCCTCCTTTAGATAAGAATTCTTCATTCCAGCATAGATTAACAATAATTTCTTAAAATTTATACTTTTTATAATTGCGCAGTTTATCGGTTACATTTGTGCCATTGAATCGTTTATATTGTCCGGCATTGCCTCATGGCCATGGACGCAATATTATCGTCAGGTGCCCGACGATGGCAGCGAAATGTATATCGAAGATCGTGAAATGACACCAATGAGTCCAATCGAGAGTACTGATGTGCCGAATACACACCATCAAACACAATATAACAATCGAAATAATAGCACTGCACACAGCGAATCAAATCACAATAATCAGCAACAGCAACAACAACAACAATACAATCGAATATCATCGTCGTCGTCCTATAATCAAAAGCCTTATATACCTGGTGAGTAAAAACTCATTGAAATTTCGAATCAGCGCTTAGGAATTGCTTTTATGAAGTTCCTCAAAAGATCCTAAATTTAAGCATGACGTGAACCTCTCAGCTTTAAATTCTACAAAACAAACGTATTTGCTCAGTTTGAAATTACAGGGTCTACCAATAAGAGCGACGTGATGTTAAAATCAAATAAAACACTCAGATTTGCTAACTGGGTTCTGTTTTTTTTTTTTTTGCCTTTTATAATTTCAACAAAATGTCGGTCCCGTTTACTCCAATTTTCGATGACATGCATATGCATTTCCTAAACAACACGAGCATATGACTCACCTCAATAGCCACAAATTTGTTTTTTGACAAAGCCATTAAACCAGAAATGGGTCTCAGCTGAGAAGATGATTTTTTGATAAGCGTTATTTCCTGAATTTTTTGGAGAATTCGAATTATTCTTGAACAATTTCCAAGCGTGGCACCAAAGTGAAACGTAACATGATGAAATGGCAAACCTTACTGAACACACTGACAAAATTTGACAAAAATCCGTAAACAAACGTGGCCGCCACAAGTTGTCAAAATCACGTCATCCCTATTGGTAGACGTGTTATTTCGTACATGCGACGAAACATTTCGTGTATTAATTTTTATTTCATCAAATCGAAAAATATTTTTGAAAAAAAAATTTATATATAAAATATTCTGAAAATATATATTTTTATTTGAATCAAAACGTTAATTATTAATTTTGATATAAAAAATATGGTTTTGAGCTTAAATTACATAGCGCTTAAGTTAACGAAGAAATTTAGTTAGATGAACTTAAAAGTATTTCTATTATTATGAATATATTTTCCATCTAAAGGTTGAATTTGTATATTAAAGAGCTAAAGAAAAAATATATATTTATCATTCTTTCATCTATTTAATGGAAATTTTCGAGTCATAACTTTTATTTCGTCGAATCGAAGAATATTATTGAAAAATTAGAATATTTTAAAAACATTTTTTTTTTATTTGAATAAAAACGTAAATTAATAATTTTGATATAAAAAGTCCTCTTTTGAGCTCACTTTAGACGAGTCAATTACTTTTCATCGATTGGATAAAATTTTTTTCTATTACTTTTGCATTCAAGGTATACTCTCACTGTAACCAAAAAAATATTTTGCAATGGTATTGAAATAAATATGTTAATTTGAAAAATACTAATACCTTATAACTTAAACATGAAAAAACTTAACTTCCGCGAAACTTACGCCATAATACCCTTCACAGGTGCATTTTTTATAGCGTAAAAGGTTATAAAAATATATATATCATGAGTATAAAATACTTATTTTGTTTTTTGCAGCCAAACGACCCAATGAATTGATTAACCAAAGACCAACACTGGGTCACACCCAAACAACCAGGAAACCAAATACTCGTTACCGTGAAGGCTATCATTATCAACCAGTTGCGTCAACGTCCCGCCAGAGTCCCACATTCGTCCTAGGCGATGACATTGGGGCCGGTCCATCCACATCCCGATCCAATGATAATTCTAGTGCGTGATAGTTTTTATTCCTCATAATAATGTAATAAATTTAAAATAAAATACATAAAATAATAATAAAAAACAATTAAGACAAAAAAAATTTGCAAAAAAAATTACAACAAAAGAAACAAAGAAAGCGTACACAATAAAACATTGTCATTGAACGAAAATTCGCAAAACATATTAACAATTAGTTGTTGGAGAGAGATAGAGAGAGAGAGAGAGATAGAGATAGAAAGAGAGAGTAAGCGAGATGAAACAAAACAATAAGAAAAGCAAAAAAGAAATATATCTGCGGGTATGAAAAATGAGTAAAAAAAATAATTAAGCAGCTGAATTTTGTTTCAGCAACGAATACTGAAGAAAAAATCTATTTAAACAAAATGCATTTGGTAATTGTAACGAATTGTTTATAGCTGAACAAAAACAAAAACATAAATAAATAAAGAAAAATTTAAATGAAACCAAAGTGAAAAAGGCAAACAACAGCAACAATAATAAATACATAAATAATAGTTTTAAATGTGTGTGTGTAAAACAGAGTTTAACGAATTACGAAACAAACAAAATAAGAAAATGGTAAAAACACTAAGAATTCAATGAATTTAAACACTGCAATAACGGAGACGAAGAAGCATGGCGACAAAGAATCATTAAAATTACATTGTAAACGTAGGTAACGATCAAACATATGTATTTATGTATGTATGTTAGGTACTAATATAATTATAAAATAAAAATTAAAAATCCAAAAGTAATAATAGTAATTAAATATCGAATAACCAATTGGTTTGGTGGCAAAAACGTTGGCAGCGCCAAATAAAGCGTCCAGTAGTGTTTAGAAATCATCATTTTGAAAGGGACTCAGATTTTTGTGAGTCCCATGATGTCGAGAAACTACGAAATTGTTGAACAAAATACATTTGTCTGCATTTTCTGCTATAGTTAAAATGCAAGTTTGTAAAGTAAAAGTAAGCATTTAGCCTTTACTAGTTTGCTCTTCAAGTGATTTTACTTCTATTTCACGTTTACGTATTTAATTTGCTGAAAAGTTAATTTTAAATTGTAAGAAATATGTTTTTTGAATTTTTTTTCATATTTTGTTTTTTCATATACACTTTTAAAAATTATTTGTAATATAATATTAATTATTTTTATAGCAATTTTTTAAGTTTTATATATTACATTTAACATTTTCTACTTTTCCTAATAATTTGCCTGTAATCACAAAACTTTCTGAGAGCATAATAATTTTTTAAATTAATAATTAATTAGTAATAAATACGTATAATTTTTTTTATAAATAAATAAAAAATATTTAAAATATTAAAATTTAATTTTTGGATAAATATATAAAGCAAACCTAGCTAACCTAAGCTATAAAATTTCATAAATATTTTCAAATGAAATCAAATAGTAATAATGCTTAAAAAAAATTATATAAAATACTTAGTTTTTAAATATTTTTGTAGTTCTCACATCCTAATTGTTTTGTCATCGCCAATTTGAGAAGACCATTTTTTTTTTCTAAGTAATACTTTGTCTAAAACCACAAAACTTTTTGAGAACAATATTTTTTCTAATTGTAGGTATGTAATTTTTTTTGTTAATAAATAAATATTTTGTATATTTTTGTTTTTTGGAAAAAAGTATAAAGTGGATTATCTGAACTCGTAAAGTTTTGTTTATATTTTCAATAATCAATTAATATGTTAATATTACCATACTTTAAAAAATATTTATATAAACTACTAAGTATGTATGTATATAATTATGAAGAATTCTCGGATCCTATTATACCTGTAATTATTATTCCAATTTTATGAAATAAAAAGTTATAGGTACGTTTTTTTTATTCAACCGAAAAAAAATTTTTAAATTTGCACTCAGTAAGCTTTAATTAATTATTTTCTATGCAAAGTATAATTTGAAAAACTCTGCAATTTTTTTTTGATATTTTGTAAATGGCGTTCAAACAAAAAATGTTCAAACCTTAAATAAATAATTTTTAATATACCGATTTATTTTAATTATGCGTGCAGTTAATAAATTAGATTAACGATTTATAAAAAAGTAAGAAACTAATAAATGCCGATTTTTTTAAATTAAAATTTGGAAATTATTTGAATATTTTTTATTTTTCATATATTGTACCTATAATTTTAATTATTATTTTTAATAGTTTTAATTATAATTTTTTTATTTATTTTAATTAATTTTAAATATATTATATTTTGCAATGTTTTTTTAATGATTATTTTTAATAGTTTTAAATATAATTTTTTAATATTTTTTTTAATACTTTTTTATTTTCCAATGTTTTTTTTAATCAATATTTGTAATAGTTTTAAAATAACAGAACATCCTTTGCGAAGTTTTTTTTTCAATATGTTTTAAGCTGTCGGTTATTATTTTATATATTTATTTTTTATTTTTATTATTTTTTCTTTATTTCTATTAGTTTTTAATATTAGTTTAATAGATTGTATTAAATATGTTGTTATTATTATTTTTAAAATTTTTTTAATATTGTATGTATATATGTGTTATTTTTATTGTTTTTTTTTATTACTTTTCAATATATTTAATTTTGTTGAATTGTTTTAAGTATTTTATTATCATTATTTTTTTATTTATATATTATTATATTTCTTAATTTTTTATATTATTATTATATATACTGTAATTGTTTTATTATATTTTTTTATAATAACGATATTTAGGTAAAAGGAGAGGCAATATTTAAAAAAGTTTTATCAGCCCAAAATATAACTTAAGAATCTTCTTTCTGATTTTAATAAATTTAAAAGTAAAAAAACTTAGAATTTTAGTTAATTTTTTACTTTTTTATAGAATAGTAAATATATTAAATAAACACCAAATTATTATTTTAATTTTATTATAATGAAAAAGTCACCAAATTCTGCAATAAATTTCCTAGATACGCATTGCCTTGCATTTTGAAAATATTCTCCTTTTCTATTTTAATAAAATTTTCGAGTGCAAGCGTACTCGTACCTAAATTTTAATGCAGCAGTCCGTGTATGAACGTACATATGTATGTACGTATGTACGAAGCTATTCAAGCAAACCCTCAGCAGCAACATTTGTAGTAACTACGTCGATATATAAATAAAGAAATAAATATGTATGTACATGTACGTTTAAACGAAGTTAGGGGTTTGAAAGCATATAGGCACAAAAAAGGCAGAATTCGAAACAAAATTGTAGGCACATAAAAACTAATATTATAAGTAATTCGAAAACAATTTTGCGAAACTATTAAAGAAATAAATCATTTGCAGTAATTAAGCGAACATATAAGAAATATAAAATCAATAAAAAAAGCAAGAAACTGTAAAATCATTCATAAATGTATACATCCAAATAATTAAAATAATATATATATTTTTTTTGGAAAATATCCTGCAGCCGGTAGTTATAATATTTGATATTAGAAGAACAAATGTAACTTGAAACAATTATAAAAGTATAAAAAGAGATTTAAATAAAAATAAGAAGAAGAAAAAAACAATGAACGAAAACACTGCAACAAAAACATATAAATTGAAAAAACATTGAACCATTATAAATAAAAAAAAACAAGAAAAATCATGAATACAATGAAATGCTAGCCGACAACACTCATTTTGTGACGTTTGAGAAAGTAAGAGTAAAATAACAGTAAAAAGTTTAAAACACATACGAAAAGAACACTAGAAAACAGCCTAAAAAATAAAGCAAAAAATTAAAAAAAAAACAGAAATCAGTAAAATAATAATGGCTAAGCATGGAAGAGAAAATCATCTTGTTATAATCGTAGTTTTGCTTATTTTTTAATAAAACACTAATATCAAAAAGTGCGCGCGCAAAAACTTTACAAGCGACGAGGGAACTAGCGCCAGAAACTGTTTTTTATTAAAAAAAAAAAAACAACATATTTGTTTAGTACAAACTCCCACAATTATGAGCTTCGAACACCCTTAGCTACTCACTGTATTTAGATTAATAAATTTCTAAGAATTTCAACAACTCTTCTTGAGAAAAAATTCAAACTTTCTTCGGGTTAAACACTTTGTTTAATAAAAAAAAATATATTATGCGTGCAGTTAATACATTAGTTTAACGATTTATAAAAAAGTAAGAAACTAATAAATGCTTATTTCAAGTCCAAATCCTTCTCAATGGTGTGCGCACAAACCGCCATCATTTGATTCTTCACACTCTCGAAGCTTTCAATCGCAATAGGTTTAGCCTCCGGCCATTGTCCTAGGTCACGATAAATTGGACGACAGAATTTCATGCGGAAGTTCGAGTTGGCAAATGCAATAATCTCATCGATACGTTTCAGTAACCGCGCTCTGATGACTAAACGCAAAAATCGAAAACGCACCTCGGAATTTTTGGTGTTCTTCAAATTGTATGTGCTCTCTAGGAATTCGATTTTATCCGCATTTAAATCAACAATTTCAGTGCTTTCGATTAGTCTGCTGAGGAAATCGATTAGTTGATGTGAAGAAATTGGTTTTGTAATATCAGTGTCAGTGCGTAGCTCAGCGGTCGACTTGATAATCCACAATTTCGACAATTGTTTCGAAACATCAGCGAGTGTTTCATCGAATCTAAAAGTGTTTTAAGAGAGACATTGTATTATTGACACTATATATATACACTTTCAAGCTTGTGTGCTCACTTTGGTATTATTGGTGGCATACCCTCATGGCTAAGCCACAAATCCCAGTCGATTTCAGTTAACTTATCCTTTTTATCAGTTTTATTGAAGTAATCATACAAGGCACTTTTGAAGTCATCGGTTACAACCGATTTGTAGGCATACTTTTGCAAGTAGCTACGTAGGAATGGCTCAAACACCTCTGGTCCTCCCAGTAAATCTTCAATATAGCGCAAGAATGTTGAACCCTTGTTGTAGGGCACGCTGGAGAAAGCATCGTCTGGCCCACAGTTGGAGAGATCCACAACCAACTTGGTAAGTTCAGGGCTGTTGGCCAATTGGGTGCGTATCTATGGTTAAAGGGTCGAAGAATTAACGATTTTTTTTTTTTATAAATTTTGTATTTGCTAGACTCATGTAAATAACTATTGTGTACTTACACACTCTTTGAGCTCAGTCAGATTACGCAGCATATGAAAGTCGCGTTCCTTATTGCCTTGCAAGCGTCCCACGATTTTCGTCTCCACAAACACCGTAAAACCCTCATTCAACCAGAAGTGCTCAAAGTTTTTGTTTGTTACTAAATTACCCGTCCAACTGTGCGCAATCTCGTGTGCCACTACATCAGCCAAAGACTTGTCACCAGCCAACACTGTTGGCGTTACAAAAGTTAGGCAAGGATTCTCCATACCACCAAAAGGAAATGATGGCGGCATCACAAGCAAATCGTATTGCTTCCAAACATAGGGTCCACAAATATCCGATGCAGTTTTCAACATTTTATCTGTTTCTGAGAACTCTTCGGCGGCGGCATCTACAATACCAGCCTCGGCCCAGACATTGGAATGGGGGCCAAGTGGACGCGAAACTAAATCGCCGATTGCTATAGCAAGCAAATATGCTGGTATGGGTACTTCCTGCTTGAATTTGGTTACACCGGTTTCCTTCTTTTCAACTAAAGCACTCATCAGCGCAGTCAATTCCTTTGGATGTTCCACTGTGGCTTCATAGGTGAACTTAACCGCGGGCGTGTCTTGACATGGCAATACAGAACGTGCGTGAATCGCTTGACACTGGCTGAAAAGGTATGGATGTTGCTTGCCAAGTGTTTGTTCAGGAGTGAGCCACTGTAGACCGCTAGCACGATTGGAAGTCTCATAGTCGATGCGTACGATTAGGCTGTTGGGAGTGAAATAAAATTTAGTTATACATTTAAAAAATGTGTTTTACAGCGGAAAGGAAAATTATTTCACATTTCTGTTGACAAAGATAAGTATGTTTGATTTGTAATTTACAACACAGACGCTATTTTTTAGGCCTACCCAGTTATAAAGATAATTTTAACTTGGCAACAATTAAATGTTAAACGAAAAATAATTTGCTATTATCTTTGTGTTTACTTAAATGTGTTTAAAATCTTAAATTTATTACTTACTCTCCCTTGGCAGTACCCTCCGGTAGCTCCAATGTCAACTTAGCACCGATATCATCTACTGGATCACTGACAAAGTAGTTGATGGGTATTGCTGAGCCGCCACTACAGAGTATAGATGCATTTTTTATGCTGATGTCTCGCACATCCAACAACTGTACACAAAGTGAAAGCAAATGTCAAATATAGATAAAGAAAAAATGCGACAGATTAGCTGATCCTTACAATAGCCGGTAAGTTGGCTTCCAACACATTAAATTGATGAGTTACACTGCCCAAAAGCTTCGTATTTGTAAAATCGACCGTCCATTTGAAAGCGCTATGTTTGGTAACGATACGCTCGGGCTCTGAGTAAGAGCTGGGATCTACTTTACTTAAACGACCCATATTGCGTTGCTGTTGAGTGTAAATCAATGAACTGCTACTGGCGAAAGGTTGTTGGAGAATGCGTCGATGAGTGCTAACTGAACGTGTGTTTGCTGAAAGTGGGTAATTTCAGTTTAATAAATATATAAGTAAGTGCTACTTCAAGTTTAATCTACTTGGTAAAAAAGGTAATAAATATTATTAATCTTATCGCAACTGCTGGCGACGGAGTCATTAAATGCAATATATACACGTTCAAAAGGAACACATATACATATATATACAAATATTAGTATGTGGTATTATTTTATGCTTGTTTTGTTCCAAAAGTAGAATGAAATCACCTTTTTCTTTTTTAATAAGTTGAAAAAATACTCCCACTTAAGTGCACGTAAAATGCTGTAGATTTCTTCACGAATGACATAGAAAGTGTAATGGAATAATACAAGCAAAACAAATACAAATGACACAGTTAAAATCACTCATCACAGCATTCAGTGTAACCAGACAGAGGCAAAGGCAGAGATTAAATTGCAGTTATCGATAACCTTATCGATTGGAGCGAATAAACGTTGCATGTTAAAAGCAATAACTCAATTTATTTCCCACTTTACATTTGAAATACTTTTGGCCATGATAGCACGTAAATAACGGAAATACCATAACGTATTATCAATTTTCACAAATTTATAGGAAAAGAAAATACGGAATAAAATATAAACTACTTATCGACATGACTACTATGATTTTCGACATTAAATAATAAAATACTGTGTAAAAATGTTTTTATAATCTTTTTATCCAAATTTGTTAAATTAAAAAATTCGCAACCTGCGTTGTTTTCCATTTTAGGTGACGATATGTGCTCTGTCCAAATATTCCAATTAGCAGCTTTATCTATATTTTTTTTTATATTACAATTCAACTTTATTTAATCATAAACATTATTAAACACACCTCCACTTATTAACGCAAAACATAATCTTTTGGATAATCCATAATGGACGGGAAATTCTCCAGTGTCTCTTTGTCGATGTGATCAAGGCGTTGTGGCACTTCCCTTGGTGTTCTAATTTGATTGGTTAAATTTTCCAGTATCTCTTTGGGCAGCTGGTCATCGGCGAACAAATGTAATCGCTGCATGGTGTATCTACGTTGTAAATTGCCACGCATGGAATTGTACACAGCCTTCTTCATGATCATTGTAGCATCCTTTTCATGCAATTGCCACGCTAGGGTCCATGAGGCACCACCTGGATAGCCTGTGTGATGGAAGTAAACGCGTTTAACCCATTCATCACCGGGCAACGCAATTTCTTTGGTATTGATGCAAACAACATGATCACCACAGTCGTCTGGAATTTCAGAACAGTAAAATTTTGCTATACTTGAGTACCATTAAAGTTTATGCAGAAATTCAGTGTCTCCCTAGAAGTAAAGCCCATTAATTGGTTAAGAATACAATTGGAAAATAATATTTAGTATTTACCAAGAGCTTTTTTTGAAACTAATTCACTTAGTAAGCAACTAACAAACATATTTTTATTGGTATGCATTTGCATTTTTTAAGGAACCAGAACTACAGAATAAATTATGCTTACCGGTAATGTAAAAATCAAAATAAAACGCGCAAAGGTGAGACACTGTATAAGCCATCAGCTTGAAAATAAATTTGAAAGAGGCATCAATACTCACTCATTGGATGATAGATTGGTTTGTGTAATCCCATCAGATGTGTCTTTATTAGCAGCGCCGAATCGAAGGGATTTTGCCAGGTGCAATCATAGACGTGCCAAGTTCTCGCAAATGTTGCCCATTGCTGAAATAGTATATTAACAGTAATTTATGTGCTACTAAGTTTTTTATATTCGCTTACCTGCACACGTTTTACAATCGACATGTTTTGGTGTTTTTAATTCAATACTTTAGCGATTTATGTTGTTAAATAACAATTTCCTGATTAGTTGCACATTACAGCTGGAGAATGGTGTGCTTGAAGCGAATATGTGTTGCCGGATGTAACTTTTGTATAATACAGAAAATGTTTTGAATTTCACTTCAATTATTATATTGCAAAATGTGCAGAGAGAATTGCATAAAAACTCTAAATGTACTAACCAAGTTTTTTAAAAATAGTTACTTAAATCCCAGATATTCTCAGACTTGTTTCAAACGTCTAATTCAGCACAATTCTATGTAAACAATTATTTTTATATAAGTTTTTGCGGTGGCAACGCTTTTTATCACAGCAGAGAACGTACATCGATCATATCACGTATTTCGGAAATAAAATTGAAATAATATAGCGATGATGTGGAAATGAAACAATAAACCGAAGCTGGAAAAGAAAATATTTTAATTTTTATAAGTAAATGAGTTTTGCATTGCTTTAAATAATAAATTTTTTAAATTTTTTCATACATGGGTTGAAGTTGGATTAATTTACTAGTCTGCACCTAAATAAATGCAGCGCCAAAAAGTATACTTCACCAAGCAATCCAAACCAATCGCTTTAGATATTTTTACCCTGAACAGACTATATAAGGTTTTCCACGAAGTTTGTAGCACCCAAAAAAAAGAAACGTCGGAGACCCCATAAAGTATATATGTATGTATGTATGTAAATGATCAGCGTGACGAGCTGAGTCGATTTAGCCATGTCCGTCTGTCTGTTCGTATAGACGCGAACTAGTCCCACAGTATTTGAGATAATGCTCTGAAATTTTGCACATGTTCTTTTTTCTCCAAGAAGCTGTTCATTTGTCGGACTACCGATATCGGTCCACTACAACATATAGTTGCCATACAAACTGAGCGATCAAAATCTATTTGTTAAGGGTATTATATATAGCTTTGATGTAACCAAAGTTAACGTTTATTATTGTTTTCATTAAAATAAATAGAATTTATTTGGAAACTGTTAAATTTTTCGTTCAACTCATTGCTGAAAAAAAAGTTCAAGTAGAAACACAACTCAAATTCAATATTGTAATAATATTTTGTTTATTTGTGTTTTTTTTTTTGTTTTTCATTCATTTTTATAATTTTCAAACATTTTCTATGAATACTAAAATTAATTACAATGTTAATTTTTTATTCTTTTTCAATTTATTTTAATTTTTTATAATTTAGTTTGTGTTAGTTGCTTTCCTTCATAGAAATGAGAAAATGCTGGCCTTTCAAGCGCTGCTTGTGTACCTCTTTGTTGTTGGCAACTTGTAAAAGCAGCATACATATCGACACGCTTATATACCGTTCTGCCAATATTTGTTTAATTATTTATATATTATTACTTTATTTCTCACAATGCATAATACAACTGTTTCACATACTGAAATAACTAAAAGCTAACAATTTTTTATTTAATTTTTTAATTATAATTTTTTAGTTAGTTATAATATTAATAGTTACAATCTTTGTTAAGTATCTATTTATCATACTATATACAATACATGCTTTCGTTTACTTACTTTTAGCTATATTACATAAATTTGTTTTTTATTTTTGTGTATTTTTAATTTACAGTGTATATTTATTAAGATAAATATCTTTTCTTTTTTCTAATTTTGCGCATTTAGTTAACATTTGAATGGCACTTACGTGCGAATATTTTCACAAAAAAACGGTAGATTGCGAGAATTACGGCAAAACGTGATTATGTTTGTATTTATGTACTGAAAATCTAAAATCATGCTCTTTTTAATTTATTTTCTTGTTGTTATTGTTGTTATGTTAAAGCACTAAGTTTGAAGAAAAATATAGTTTTTATGCCTGAAGACTAGCAAGTTTCATCTTCACTAAGCATACATTTAGGCTTGCTGAAGTTATTGTGTTGAAAAAGTTTTAAACGCTGTATAAATCTCAATTTTAAATTTTTGTTTAGAAAATTTAAGTTTTGCTTTGAAAATTAACAAATTTTTTTTAAATATTACTGTTAGCTATTAAAAAAATTATAGGTATATCATACATTTGGGCTTTGTATGCTTTGGCGACAAAACTTATTGAGCTTTCAAATAGTTTTTGCTAAACATTTTTCCGTTATTAAACAAGTTTAAATTATTTCGTTACTAAAAAAATTCCGAAATTTTGTTTTAAATACTGCTCTTGAAACATTTTGTTTTCTAAATTTTTTGTGATATTTTTTTATTTTAATATAAATATATTCATCTGTATATCAAAAAGAAAAAAGTAAAAGTTCAGATCTCTGGAAATATAAATTAGTGTAAAACATTATTTTTGTTAAATTGTAGAAATCAAGTTTAAAAAACGCAAAAACTCTGAATTATAAAAAATTACATTTTTTTAATTTTGTTAAATTTTTTTAAATTTAAAAAATTAATTTCGATTTGTGAAAGTAGCAAATGTTTTTTAATCCTAAATACATACATATGCAAAGCTATAATTTTTTAAACTTTTTGAATCCCAAAAAAAGTGAAAGTTTGCTTGTTAATTTGTAAAAATTAATTTCGAAAAACGTGAAAACGCAGCATTACATAAAAATATATTTTTTTAATTTTTTTGTTATTTTTAATTCACCAAACTAATTTCGAAATGTAAAAGGCGCAAACATTTTAAGCCCAAATACATACACATACAAACATGTTTTTACCGCAATTTTGCATAACATAACGCTTCTTGCTGTTTTACAGGGTTGCATTTTTACAAGATGTGTTTTTTCTCAAATTATTTAATTTTTTATGGCTCTATTCTGTAATTAATTTTAGTTTTTACTTTTATTTATTATTCTTTAGTTTAACTAGAAATTTAATTATCATAAATTTTTGTTTAATTATGTCCTTTCTAAATTTATGCATTAAGTACTTACATAAGTATATACAGTTATTTAGGATATATGAATTCTCATACTTTTACAAACTTTTAATTCCCTATAAGTATTTATTTTGCTTTTGGTTTTAGTTGCAGCTTTATTTTATTTTTTAATAATTACATTAATAATAATTATTTAATTTTTAAGCATTAATCATTTTTTCCTTTGATAAAAGAACTTTTTAAGTGAGTGAGCATTTCCGTTTGCATTTGCAGCCATTTTTGAATGCCTACGTGCAAATTTTCTTTGAAAGTTTTTAAACTATTCCCTTGAATTTTATTAATTTTTTTTTTAATGAAACTTTAAAATTTTGCAAAAATAATACAACAATTAATAAGTGAAAGTAACCATACTTAAATTAGTGACACAGCATTGAGATTTTGTAATACACTGCGCTAAAATTTCATCTGAAAATAACGGTAAGCGTAATTTAGATTTATAAAAAAAATTTCTCGCGAACCGTTATTAATTTGTGTAGTTGAAATTTCAGCAAATTGCTTTACAATATGCCAACGCTGCAGCTTTTTGACTCTTTAGCGACTTGAAGCTTTCATTATGAGAGCTTTAGTGGTGACACGTGAACAAAATTTTTCTCGTGAGGCGCTAATCGCATTGGCTACTAGCCATACACAAACACATACTATGTTTAAGTGTTTCCTACATCCGCCGCATACCAACTGCTCCTCCTCCCTGCTTGAAAAATTGCACATTTGCCCCTTTGCACGCGCATCACTGAGTTCCGGCTTGACGGCAGAACTCCTCGTACATCCTTCATAGCACCGCGTGCGTTGGCGAAGCCGTCACCTTTTGTAACATTTGCATCAACTGCTCCGTGGCCGATTGCGCTTGGCCACAGCTCGCCGTGTTGCCAACACCAAGACTGCCAACAACACCACCACCGCCACCCACTGCCATGCCTCCTAGACCGAGCCCGCTGTTAAGCGCACAAGCCGCTGCTATAACACCGCCGACACCAAGACCGCCAATAGCGCCAGCTGCCGAGCCACTACCTAAAAGTGCACCGACTGTGTTCGAGGCTGATGGTGGCGAAGCGATTGAGTTGGCCGCCGATGTCGATGCGGATGATAGCGATGAGGATGATGACATTGACAAAGACATTGACGATGTTGGTGTCAAAGCCAGTTTGGACTCTGTTTTTATAATTTTTTTATGTTTTTTTTTTTTTTTTAATTTTTTTTGGATCGACAAGAACGAGAAGAAGAAGAAGAGCAAATTAGATACGTTTGCACATGCTTTTCTACGGACTGCCTTGCATACTGTCATCGCTCTCCAGATAGGTCACATATGAGTCAGTGCTGTCCGGGTGATGATGTGATGTAATGCCCGAGTCCATGCTACCAATGGGTGGTCCGTTCATTTGCTGACCGGGCGGTGGCGGATGTGGTCCTTGCTGTTGATGCGGCGGCAACGGTGGCATACCATTGAGATCGTAACCATGCATCTGTTTAAACGGTGGAGAGCGGAAATTACAAATTTAGTCACAGCACTGGAGCAATTGCAATTGTGTGGCACCCACCTGATTGACGAGTTGCTGGAACGCGGGCGTGTGCGTATTGATCGCACCGTTGCTGTCCAAGTCCGCATGCAGCGCGAAGTCGGATAAGGCCTTCCATGGCGGCTGATATGTTTGCACATCGATGCCCTGCAAATTTAAGGGCGAATCGTGGCGCACCGGCGAACTCGCTATCATCGGTATGCCCTGCATGGCGCCATATCCGAGCTTTCGTCCCTCCTATAAACGCAAAGCAAAGAGAAACTTTCATCAATTAACCTCAAATTATTGCCCTTGTTAAGAGATTAATGCTCGGGGAAGTTTCGTGAGTTGTACATACCTTCTCCTGTTGCATTTGCAGTTTCATTTGTATGGTTTTCTTCTTGTCTTTGCAGCGTTTGTTCTGAAACCAGACTCGTATGACGCGTGGCGATAGACCAGTCATCTCCACCAGCTGCTCCTTCATGAGCGCATCAGGTCGCGGATTAGCATTGTAGCAGGTTCTGCAAATGAGAAAGTAAATTGTTGACTTTGTTATGCATAAATATTGAAGTTAGAAGTGTATAGCAGTAGAATTTAAAGGATTTTTGTGATGGAAATGTAATTTAGGTTATGTTACGTTCCCTGGAACCTAGATATAGAAAAGACGTTTTTAGACTTCTGGGTATATGGATTAAATTATACCGAAACTATAACTTAAACTAGTTGATTTTAGAAGAGGCGCATTGGTAAAGCTGGTCTTCAGCAGTAGTGAATTTCAAGCCATTTTCGGATACACTCAGTATTATAAAAGGTTTGGAATGGAACTACGAGTTTAAGATTGTTTTTTTTTTACAATACAATATTTAAAAATATACATATAGATTGTAGAGACTTATTCCCAGCTCATCTCTTTTAAGCAACAAGTAGGAAATGTGGCCTGAACTAAGCTTTCTGGCGAAAGTAAGGCGGTCACAATCACGTTAGGGGAAGAAAGAAGTCTTCCATAGGGTCTTTTTTTGTGGTAGAACCTCTTCAGGTCATTCTGAAAATATCATCGTCGTAGAATGTTATAGAATAGCATCAGATACTACATGAAGAAAGAGTCGAAGAGCTAAATAAAAAGGAAAGACGAGACGGTCAGTAAATAATAGGGTGGAGCGAACAGTTTTTGTTTTTTGCTTAGCCTGAAGGTAAAATTTGTAGATTATAAAAAAAGACAACATTTGAAAAAGAAAATTTTTGGAAAATAAAATTTTTTTAACATCTAGAGGCGGCTCACTTTTAAAGTATATTTCGATTTTTTTTTCGCTCCACCCTAGTAAGATTTGGTAGGAAAGTGCAAAACAATCAACAGCGAGTCTCTTTTCAATAAAATACAGTACTAGTCTGTTGGTGAACTATTCGCTCCCAGCAAAGTTCAATGATTGTAGGTGTTCTAAGTGAACACTGTGCGATCGGCAATTATGCAGTAAAGTTGAATATAATTAGCCGTTTGAAAGAAGATGAAATAGAATAATCTCAACACTTTATCTTCGAAGGTTCCGTCTTTGCCAGATTAAGACAAAACACCTTTGATCTCATACTTTTAGACATACAGGTGAAATAGCGGAAATAGAAATAAAACACCTAAGCAGATTTCTATGAGGTTCATGGCGCTTTGCCGATAGCTAATATCAAATTACAGGCGTTTTCATCTGCCTTCACAAAGGGTTTTTAGATACACAGTCTCAGTGTGATCCACCCGCCATGTGGAGGGATCAGCCATCTAACCCAAGCTAACCTCTTTCCAATATTTTGAACTACATAAGTTACATTATTTCTAGAAGCTGACGCACTTCGGCGCACAATATTAAGTTCCCAAGTATATTTTAGAGAGGCAAATTTTAATCAGAAAAATACTTCAACCGCTCGGAGGCAACGTAAAACTTATAGAACCCGCGAATTGTGTGATAAAAAGAACACACATATCGAAAAAAGTAGCAGAACCTCAATTACAGATCTTCTAAGGGTTTAATTGTGAACTTTTGTGAAGTTTGTGGAAACTTACCTTAACGTGTGTAGTTGCTTCTCATTCAAGACCGTTCGCACCCGTGTCGGTTTACCGTCCGATGGACCCGAAGGTCTTTTTTCCCTAATACTTTTATGTGAGCCTGATTCACTACCAGAATCTGTAAAAGAAATTGAAAAATATTGAGGAAAATTAGTTATCACATATCGAAATTAAAAAAATATGTAAAATAAATTATTTTAGATTAGGTTTTAAGCCAAAATCTAAAATATGTATATAATAATACTAAATAAATACTAAATAATTTTTTATATTATATCAAACACTAAAATTCGAAACCTCAGATTTAAACAAAAATAATTCCTGCCTATTTCTCACTTAAAAAAAAAAATTTTCTCATATTCTATTCCTGTTCATTTCTTTATACTTTTAAAGATATATGTATATATATATGTAGATATAATAAAAATACTTTTATATTATATATTTTTGTATAGCTGTAATTTTCTTCCGTTAGAATTTGCATTGGCAATTCCTTCAACCCAAAATTGAATAAAGCAACAGGAAAAAGCATAAGATTCTGATGACATTCGCTCTTCATTTCGACTTTTATTTTTGTTGTTTTTATTGTGCAGAACTATAATTAGTTTTCTCCACCGAATGTGTTGAAAAATTGCATACAAAATATTTACTTGCCGGCGCGTTTCGGCGAGTTCAAAGCGAATATTTGCGACAACAGACAAGTATCGAGATCAATTGTTGGAAATCAGTGGAATTTTTGAGATGTTGCCGATTTTAAAATTAACTCTAAAGAAATGCGTTAATTTCTTTTTGTTGTATGCTCTTTACATATCAATAATGAGTGTGGACTTTTTGTGAATATTCTTAGCGATTGTTGTAATTTTACAATAAGAGAAAAATATAAAAAACTTTCATTAACATTTTTTGATATACTCAGGGTTGAACATGTGCAAAAATGGAGCTCTAAAACTGGGTACTCGTCATAATAGTAGGGAATTGAAGCTTAACTTTTGTATGAAGAGAAGTAGTATTTCTGTGATTTTAATTTTTGATCTTTACTATTTAAAAGTCTTCGTTCCCGAAATATTGATGAGTTTTGAGTAAGTTATTTAATATCTCCGATATATTGTATAGCAACCATGCCACGCACTCAGGCATGTACTCTTGGAAAGTTTTTGCTAATTTAAAGTAGAAAAATCTATTCTCAGTATTCTTTAGCTTAATATGCACCTAAAAAATAGGCTATTTCAGAGGTAGAGAGTATCATTTATAAGCTTTCCAATAGCTATAGCTTCATGACCTATAAATTATACTGTTTTTTTTTTGTTTTTTGTTAAAGCGTCGATCTGATGGTTAAAATGCTACATTATTGACGCCTGCGTATCTTTTATATTATATCGAACTAACTCTTTCCTCTCTTTTAAAAATATCTATATCTACAATCAACTTTATTTTTTATATTATCGAACATATTTTCTAAAATAGCAGAGGGTCTGTGGCTTTTAACATGAAGTCTTCTTATTTTGCAAGTAAATTTATCGATTAGTGATAAGTATTTACTGTCACTAATTAAAGAAATATATTCGACGATGTTGAGAAGGATATATTAAACTCAACAAAAAGCTACACCAAATGGATGAGCTTTGTTTATTGAAGCTGAGATCGGCTTACTGTTGACTTTGACTCAGACTAGACTGGGCTATAAATACCCGAACAAATAGTGTCTAGAGATGGTAAAATCAACAAAAGTATCTACTTTCTGCATATAGTTTTTAAAATTGGTAGAAATGATTAGAGAAATATATAAAAAATAGTGTCTAGAGATGGTTAAATTAAGTATCGATTAATTCGTAAGTTTGATATAACGAGGAAGTGATATGAACAATGGTTTCTAAGCTGGTAAAATCTAAAAGTGTATCATTTAATTCAATATATTCTTATAAAGAGAATGATATGAAACCGGAATGATAAAAGTGTAAAAATATTATAAGTTATATAAAGTTCTAGACATGCTTTAATAGACATATATAAATACATAAATTTACATACATAATACATAATACATAAATTTATATATGTATGTACTTGTGTATACCATAAGTACAGGGTCTACCAACAAGAAGGACGTGATGTTACAATAATTGGTAAACCTTTGATTCAACATACCTCCAGAGGTTAGATTTAGATTTGGAGACATTAAATCGACATTTCTCGTAATTAACGAGTCGCCAAACTTTGCACGCAATGTGTAACATAACATAGGTATATATGGCCGTCACGAGCTATCAAACTCACGTTATCCCTATTGGTAGACGCTGTATTTATTAACGATTACCGTGGAGTAAGCCATTCACAACCTATTGCAAATACGATATCACAGCTACAATCTTGGTATTTACGATAATTAAGGTATCCGCGAGTCGGCAGAAATTGGCACATTTAGTATGCATAACGAGTGAAAAATGCGAAATGTTATTTAAGTGAATGAAAATGACGTGGCTACATACTAGCTATATACCTATCATAGCGTTGTTGACACCGATTCTGGCGGTATCTTATAAAGTTAAGAAGTTACGAGCAATTAAGGCCAATACAGCATAAACAGGAGAGCAGGTGTATATACATATACCATATATAGAAATATTTACGAATGATATTTTCTTCAATATATGTGTGTATGTATATAGACGTGTATATAGATATATATGTGTTCATATACAGGGTGCATAGAGGGTGTATATAGTATATATGTAAGTATACATACATGTGTACCTACATTGCTCAACTTGTAATTCGCTGGTTGACAATGCAAGCAGGGTTGTATGTAAATATTTTTCTTAATACATGCATACACACACTAAGTAGGTATGTATATTTATATAACGTCATCGGGGCATGGAATTTCGATATGTGCAAAAAAAAACTTTAAAGAACGCCGCCGCGTTGCGAATGAAACACAAACAAAAAGCAGCGAAGCGCTCAGCCGTATTCCCAGTCAGTCAGCCAGTTACACTCCATATTTACTTACGTACAAGTAGTGGATGGTCAAGACCAAAGGGTCAATACAATGTGTAGTAGATGACTTGGCTAACTGCGCCCCAGGGCTGCATGAGTGAGCAAGTGAACGGCTGGCTGGTGGCATGGCTGCCTGGTTTGCTGCTTCGTTGGCTGGTTGGTTGGCAGCGACGCTCTGCAAACCACAAACATTGTTGGTCGATTTTTTTTTTGACAACTTCTTGGGAAAGGTTCACACACACACACACACACATGCGCTCAAACCACCGGCACACATGGTGTCTCATAGTCGGCAATGTCACCTGTCTACCGGTGCGCTCTGTCTCCAACTGCATGCCGCCCACAAATATACCGCGCGATCGCAGTCGTAATACTTTACATACATATGTATGCATGTGTGTGTGTTTGTATGTGCGCGATTGCGATCATGTTGTTTGGTGTTTATCATAGCGATCACTGTTTTGATTTTGTTGTTCTTTATGCTTTTGATTTCTGTTTGATTTCCAATCGTTGGCAATTGTTTGATGAACTATCGAAATTGTTGTACCTCTTGTCATTTTGCTGTACAATAGTTGTTTGTTTATTTTTAGCGGCACTTTTTATGTTGCTTAGATCGTCATAATGAACATTGTTTCGACGCTTGTTCAGCTGAGAACGAACAATCGCCGTTCAAGTATATGTGTAGTTCAATGTTTTTTGACAGTTTTAGCGAGTGGACTCGTTATACTTATGGCGTTAGTCACTTGCAGACTGTCTACAAGCCGGTCTAAATATAAATTATTTAAATATAAGCTAAGGTCGAGTATTTTTACTGAGTTTATGGTTACCTGAGAGAAAATTTAGATATCAATCAAAAAAGGAAAGTTTAAGCTGTTGCTGTGTTATGAGCTTCTAAAACCGGATGAAACCATTAACGCTGTTGACAAAAACTCATCAAATTGCAGCAAGCGATTGCCGAAACCGCCCGGAACTCCTGACTGGATCATGGACCCATATTGCAAGACTGATTAAAGACTATTTGAAAAACAGTGGCTGAGGGGTTTTGCTTCACCTGCCTTATAACCCAGACTTTGCCTTTTATAACTACCATTTTTTCCGATTTATACAGAACACCAACATTGGAATGCGGTTCACATAAAAACAGAGTTTCAAAAATTAGCTTGATTCCTTCTTAGACACCAAGCATAGTACTTATAGGATCCACAAATTGGCAGATGGACAAAAAAATTCAAAACCTAAAATATAATTATAGATCGACTTAATAGTTGATTCGGTAATTTTCGACCAACTGAGACTTAGAAACGAGCTGGACATGATGTTTTTGTCGCGGCTTTAGATTGTTGCCGAGTTCACAGTCTTTAACTTAATAAAATAATGAAATGAATAAAATAAAATAGCCTGCGCTTCAGTATAGCTTCTCTTCAGTTTGATACCAGTTAATCGAACACCGTGAATGTTAAGACATATGTCGTAAATGATCAGAGTCTACATGCGATATCTCTATGCAGGGAGATATTTCAACACAGAGAGCCAGACATAATTCAGCACTGTTGCCCTACTTTCCCAATGACCTTGCCACGAGCAAAATTTTTATTTTTAATATGTACGAAAAGCATTTCTCCCATGATTTTTTGTTCTTTTTCATATACTACACACATGTTAACAAGCAAAACAAAAAGAGCACAAAAGAAAAACAGTTATGAACATGATCAAAACTAAGAGCGCGGGCGATATGACGTTTACCAGCTTGTTCACTGTTACAGATTTTCATTTCATTCATTTTGTTTCATTATACAAAGTTAAGATCAAAAAGCGGCCGACGCATACAAACAAATGTTCTCCGAATAGTAATCGTTTGAATAAATATCGATTGTCGGAAATAGAAATTACGGCGGGAGAGAGGAGCGTTGGCAGGGGCTGTAGAACAAAGAGCGCCCGCAATTAGATAACAACTTGTAGTTGTGTCGTGGAACAAGACATAATTAAGAATGTTCTCACAATTGTCGCTACAAGGCGATACAGAGATATTGGAGTGTAGATTAGAAAATTACAGATTTTGATAAAAGAAAACATATTAAAGATGCGGTTAATGATATGCGTGTGGTTAAGCGATTTACAAATAGCAGATTAGGTGATCATATTTGAATAATTTCAGAAAGTTCGTCACATCTATGGAGGTAATGCTAGAAAGAATGATTTTTGATTTCTGTTGAATGCAGGTGTTATTAAAGAGCGAGCAGCTCTGAGTTGGACCCAAGCTGTACAATATCAAGTGGTAGCTCTGTCTTGGTACTTAGTGTCTGTCTTGGTGTTCATTGGTCTCTACTAAAAGTATTGGAGCACGATATGACAGAGAGTACGAAGGAGACCCTAAGACCTATATGACTCAAAAGGTTAACTCTTCGATCACCTAAGATTCCAAGAGCTCTTAAAAGACAATATTGAAAGCCAGAAATTGCATGGACATCATCTGGTTAAATACTAAACGGTTTGAGTGATTTTTGTTGCTAATGAATTGTAAAAAAATTTATTTATAATAACTCATTTTATATAGCGAACAATAAAAATAAAAATATAAAATATTAAATAACCAGTGAGAAGTCTAATAAGTTTACGCACTATTAGTTAACAATAATATAGTTAAAATAAAAAAAAAATAAAAATTTTATTGCTGCCTCACCTGACATTGAACCCAACTCGCTGGAATGATTATTATTACTAAGACTCGTGTTATTATTATTACTACTACTATTATTGTTGTTGCTCTCTATGGATGATGACGTTAGACTACTTTGTGAGGATTTCTCTAGAACATCATGATCTTCTTTACAATATAAAATGCCGCCATCTCGTAACGCAAACTCATCGCCTACAGCAGAAATAAAATAGAATTAATAGAAGTTAATTATTTTTTTATTGAACTATAATAAAATATTTACCTGGCAGCAGCTGTCTCGCACACGCTGAGCAACGAAAGCATTCAATATGAAAAATTTTCGTTTTTGCGCGCATCACAAAGTCATTTTTACTAAATGAGCTGCCGCATTTATCACATTTTGTACCAAATAACCTATGAAAGGGAGAAAAAATTATTGAAATTTTATATTATTTTAATTTGTTTGGTAGAAATAATTATATATATTTCAATAGTACTATACATATTATAAATTTATTAATATATTTGTATTACAATTTTTTTTTTATTTAAATGTGTAATTATTATTTTTGTAATACATTTTTGTATATATTATATAATATTTAGCCTAAAAAAGGGTGAACAAATTTATAAGTTTTTTGATATTATTATCTTTCATTAATAAAAATATTAATATTTATTTTTGTAATTAATAATATAATATACAATGTATAGTAAAATTTAAATTGATATTTTTGTAATAAAAATATATTAATATTAATATTTGAAAAATATATAAAAATATATTAATTAAAAATCACAACAAAAATTATGTTTTAAAATTTTTAAATAAAACATGTAAAATTTAAATTTACAACAAAAACAAGTAAACATATCTAAAGATTTTGAAGTTGCCATTTTGTTAAAGAAAAATCATATTTTCAAGGCTTACATGATTATGAGTTTTTTCTTCAACTAAAGGTTTTAGATTTTTTATATATAGAAAAAAATAAAAATTTATGCAGATGACCTTGTCATATTAAAAAAAAAATCAAATAGCCATGAAAACTATGTAATTTATTTTTATATTCAAATTTATAAGGATTTTAAGTAAAATTATTAAAATTTAAACAAAATATACAATAGTTATGTATACAACCTTGCAAAGTTGCCATATTAATGTACAAATTATATTTTTAGAGATTTTAAAATAAAAAATATTAAAATTAAATATAAAAAATGCAATCAAATGTATAGTTATGTATATAATTTTGTAATGCTGCCATATTTTTGCAGAAAAATCAAACTTTAATCGCTTGCCTGAGCACGACCTTTTTTTGTGAAAAAAAAATTATAACTTTATATTTTTGCGACTGAAACAATCACATAATTTATTTTTGTAAAAAAATATAATTTTTTTAAATAAAAATATAAGGAAAAACATGCAACTAAGTGTATAATTACGTATTATATACAACAATAATGCTGCCATATTTTTGTTGAAAAAATATTGTTTTATCGAAATTTTTTTGTAAATATAATTATAACTTTCTTAAATACAAAAATTAAAATTTGCAACAAAAACATGCAAAGTGGCATGCATATATTCTTATCACATTATTTTAGAAAAATCCTACTTTTATGCTTTACATGGACATGAAATTATATTTTGTAATCAATATTAAAAATTGTATAAATAAAAACCAGTGAAGAAAATGTAAATATAAAAAATTTTAATTTACTTTAAAAAACCCAATGCAAGGCTGTGAACATAGCCTTGTAAAGTTGCCATATTTTTGTAGATAAATTATATTTTTATGCCCCGCAAGAACATTAAGTTTTTTTGTAAAAAAATTATAGTTTTTAAATTTAAAAAAATTAAAATTTACAACAAAAACAAGGAAACAAGTGTTCAGTTATGTATATAACCTTGTCATATTATTATACAATAGAAAATTCATATTATATATTACTCATTCGATCATGAAATATATTATTCTTATAATAATTTAAAATTTTATTAAAAAAATAAGTACAGAAAAAAAAGTTATTAAATTTACCGCAAAAACCCAAACAAGTGTAAAGTTATGTATATAACCTTGTATAGTTGCCATATTATTTAAAAAAAAAACCATATTTTGATTGCTTACACGACCATAAAATTAATTTTTGTAATAAAAATTGAAGATTATATGAATAAAATGTAACAAAAAGAAGTTAACAATAAAAGCAAGCAACCACGAAGTGCATAGTTATTGCATAACCTTGCCATATTATTTTAAGAAATCATATTTTTATTGCTGACACGACCATGTAATTTAAATATTTATTGAGATTTTTATTTAAATTGCTTTGTAAATTTATTAACAAATTCTAAGTGTATGCGTTGCTTTGTTTATATTTCCTGGTTTACTTTGAATAGGTATAAATTGAAGCTGCTCATGCATTTTCATAACGCTAAAGTATCAATAGCGCTGGTAAAGCTTTCAAAATAAAGAAAAAAATCGTGTGTGATTCTTTCTTAAATTGTAATGAAAAATGTGTAATTATATACTGCCAACTCCCAAATTGTTTTTTTTTGTTGCTTTTGTATTTATTTTTCATTTTATTGAGTATTATTTGATTTTATTTATTTTGAGGTGAAAATTGTGCTAATTTATTATCGATTGCCTGGCGCGTGTTAATGAATTATTTAAATATTTACGCATGTACATTGTGCACACAGTTGCAACGGTAGTGCCAGCGGCAGCACGAACACATAAATATGGTAACTACAAAGCGTATGCTCTATGCTGCCAAAGTTTATTTTTAACTGTTTAACAGCTTTTATTAGAGTATATCCGATCGTTAAACAAATTGAGGCATTTTCGAACACGGCAGCACCGCATTTGAATATTTTGTGGCTTTTTTGTGGTTTTTGTAAAGCATTTTCAGCTTTCGACAGCTCTTGGTGAACGCTCGGTGGCGCATGTTGTTACAAAAACAAGTTTTTTTTTTACAAATATTTATTATAACTATTATACACCTATATTTGTAAATAAAAACATGCGTGTGTATGTGTTGGTGTGTGCACATTTCGGCTACTGTAGTTAAATAGTCGCACATTGTTATTTAAATGCTTTTGTTGTCGCATTATTTATCGAAGATTTGCTAAATGCCATTGTGGTGGAGTACAAATTTGCGCTTGAAGAATTTAATTTGTACAATTCATTTGCATATTGACGGTATTTTTATAGCAAATATGAAGAAGAGCGGTGGAAGTGATTGATTGGTTGAAACAAATATTTATATAATATGAATTTTTTTTAATTTAAAAATAAAAATAAATAAGTGTGCTCACATATATGAAGCGACTGTACCAAATATAGGAAAATATAAACTATGAAATTTTTTAAAAACAACAAAAAAGAAAAAAATTGTAAACTCCAAAAAATTGTCATTAATTACTATTTTACTGACTCTTGTTCTAGATAAGTATATTCATTTTTCCAATCATAAATGAGATTCCTTTCCTTATCTATCTCTCTCACTTTCTCTTTTCTCGCCATCTTTTTCTCTCCCTCGCTTTGTCTTTAACTTTTTCTGGCTCTCTGCTTCTCTTTATTTCCAGTAATTTCCTTATTTTTATTTTTATTCATTTCAATCAGCTGCTACCAAATAACATAAACACTAGATTTCGCCCACAATCATGTGACCACGCACTTACCTACAAGCAAGTTCGCATAACCTAAAAGTCTAATTATAAACTTTTTTAAAACTCCCACTGCTAATTGCGAAAATTTCATCAGCAGCATTCTTTGGCCGCAAATTAACATGTCAATATTATTTTATAGCATCTAGTTATATGTATATACCTATGTGCTAAAGTATAGTATGTTCGTAAGTAGTTTAAGTCTACGAAATTTTCTGCGAAAAGCTTCTAAAAAGCGTATAGTAGCACTACTCGCTCTCTCTCTTTATAACTTACAATTGACCACGAATTAGTTCCGAACTCAGCTCTTGCGAAGGCAATTCGGTATACAGTAGTCTTAAGTGAATAACTAACTGGTACAGCTAGTATATATTATATTAGTTCGAAACGGCTTGGAGCAAATTTACAAATAAATTGCTTTTTTTCTCTACAATTATATCCGGTAGCGTAGCATATTTATAACTTGTCCCTCCATACGAGATGCTGGAATATAAGGCTCATAAAAAGCGCTCAAAACTGACACTAGTTGGCTGTTCTTTTGCTATTGAGTATAATTAGAGTACTAAGTACAATTAGACTCATCGCTTTTGGATACAATTAGGCATTAATTAGTGACAAAAAATACTTTTAGAGTATAACCGAGTTCCAAATTGCAACCTAATATGCATAAAAATTTATATAAATATGGAAAACCCGCTTCAGCGCCGGTTCAAAATGCCTAAGGCACTTTCTGAATAAAAAACTATATATATATATATGTATTATTTTCTTTAACTTGGGTTGGACTATTTCAGTTTGTATGAAAGCTTTCAAGTAGGCAACTCCCATACGTTGCCAGTAAGTTTTCGGACGTCCACGATTGTGGGTTCCAATAAATAGCAGCTCTGCAAACATGATAATATATTGCTGATAATAAACTACGCACTATAATAGTTCCTGTCAATCTAAATTAAGACCAGCTCGAAAGTTGAAAATGTTACAAAATGCAAAGCTTTTGTCTTCTAAGAGCTCACAGCTATTTTCCATAGCATTTATTCCTATATGTAGTGATTATTTCTTGAATTCTCTCTTTTTTTGCAATTCGAAGTCGTATTTTAGGAAAAATTTTACAAAATAACTGTCAAAAATACAAAAAAAAAATTTCCCTCAGCAATAAATGAGAACATCAGATATTTCAATCAGATGACCATCATTGTTTCCAATATGTTACATATGTACACATAAATTGTATGTAAGTAGATCATATTAAATTAGTTTAAAGCACATCATGACTTTCGAGATCTATAAATAGTCATGAAAATATACGTGTGGCAACGCCAAAAATACGCAAGCGCGTGTGTAAAGTGCCTGACAGTTTAATTTTCATAAGGATGGATTTCATAGTTGCTATGCGGTTATTTTGCGAAAGCTATTGTAACTAATTGCTATAATAACAACAAAAATGTACAAAATTTATTTTGATATAAGTATATTAACACAAAGCCACGTAGTTCATGGCAAAGCAACTACACCTACTTATAGATAAATAAGCATAAGCGTGTTTAGGAGTAAAAATAAATTTTTTGAGGCAAAGTTCACACTAAAGTGTGTATTGATATATATACAATATACTAGTATATATATTATATGTATATAACTCTTCAAATTTGCTTTGCTTTTTTATACTTTTTTATACATTTTTATTTGTTTTTATTTTACTTTTTTTTTATATAACACAGTTTTTTATTGACATTGTTAAATCTTTTATTAATTTTTATACAAATACTTGTGTCATTGCATACTTGCTTATTATATAAGTATATATGTATCTGCTTGTGGTACTCACCTAACATAATCACGTTTACAGTACGTCTTGCCGTCACGCACAAAACACGTACAGCTTTCGTCCAGAAATTGTCGGCATTCCTGACACTTGAGGCATGCCGCATGCCATTCCAGATCGGGGGCAACACGCAAAATGTACTGATCGTGAATTTGACCGCCACAGCCCACGCAAAGGGATAAGCGTTGTTTTTCTGTAAAAAAGAATAAACATTTTTTTATTAAAAATTAAGTTATTAAAAAGTTAATAATACTCGCAAATTCAAAATCGGAATGAAGTGCTTGTATGGAAAACTCTTTCATTTGACGAGGTATCTTCACGAAACTTGGCATGTATTATTATTTAAACCATTAATCTAATCTCCGAAGAATATGTATGGATCGGATGACTATAGCATATAGCTGCCATATTAACTGAACGATCGGAGTAAAGTGCTTGCATGGAACATTTTTTTATTTGACGAGGTATCTTCACGAAATTAGGCACGAGTTATTGCTTAAGGCAACAAATTATTCTCCACAGAAATTGGTGAGATCAGATCACTATATCATATAGCTGCCATACAAATTGAACGTTCGGAATCAAGTTCTTGTAAGGGGCCTTTGTTTTTGTGAAGGGTATTATAGCTTCGACGCAACCGAAGTTAACGTTTTTTCTTGTTTAAATTAAAATTTTGATTTTGTAGAAGTTTTTTCGTTTTTCTTTATGTTCGTAGGCGCATATCAGGCTCATTCGTATCAGGCAAAAGCAAACTTTAAGAGCTAAAAATAAAAATTCCAGTGTTTTCAGTGTCTAGAATCAGAATTTGAGCACGAAAACAGAAACCAAAAACAAAAATTTTTTTTTATGTTGACCGGTGTAATACATTACCTAGAAAATACATTTTTTTTGTTTTGCATGAGGCTTGCAAATAATGCTTTAAAAAATAATGGAATTAACATTTGAATCCAAATTTTTTTATTTGGTAATCCCAATTACGGGATTAAAAAAAAAATTTAACTCCGCATACCGGATTAAAAACTAAAAAAAAAATTTTGTCCCAAAACCCGGATTAAAAATTAAATTTATTTTTGAAGAATAAAAAAGAAACATTTTAATTTTCAGCAGAAATATAAAAGAATTAATTAATTTGCTTTAGAATTAACATTTTTTCGCGTTTATTAAAATCAAAAAGTAATATTTTCAATTTTCAATTTTTAATCCCAAATATCTTGGATTAAAAAATGAAAATATTATTCTTATTATCAAATTTTTGAATTAAAACTTCGTAACCTTGCCGAGCATTGACTTTAAACGAATATTTATAATCTTTTCCATTTGTGCAGATTTATATATTGACATATAGTGCTTTTACAAAGTAAAGTTTTAAAATTTATTTTTGATTCTTTTCAAAACGCAAAAAATATGTATCAATATAATCGGCTTATACTCTTTCAGTTTGCATCAATTAAAATGAATTCTATTTATTTATACGATTTAACTCAAATTCAAACACTCAAAAAGTTAACAATTTAAAAAATTTTGCTCTGCGGTTTTCGTAATTAATTTCGTTATGATTTTTTTTTCAAAAAATTTTTTAATCTGCTTACTTTTGAAACTCAGCTAACTTTTTCCAGTTTTTTATACTTAATTTTGCCATATTTATAATTTTCTTTTCACTTTATTTTGCTGTAAAAAATCGGTTTAGCATAATATCATAAATTTTCGACGTATTCAATATTTATGAATTATAAATTATTTCTGCCGCAAAATTAAACTTTGAATTTATAAAATTTTTCAAACAAATATTATGGTATTATAGGAAGAAAAGGCAAATAAAAAAATTTTAATATATGGAAATATATTAGTACACACATATTTGCATAGAAAAATATATACATACATACATCCATTAATTTACATTTGGACACCGCAGAAAGAGTCCAAATATAAAAAATTCTCCATTTGATTGAAGCAAATAGTTGAAATACACATTTTTCTTGTTGTATGTTTGAAAATTCAATAACCTGAATTCTTTAAAAATATTAAAAACCGTATAAAATGTACAACACACTAATTATTTTACTTGAATTTTGAGGAAAAAATAGTTTTTGTCCAACATTTTTTAATCAACTTTTTATTTATTTTATTTTTAAAAATTGGAAAAAAAATTCTTAAAAATTTTTAAAAAGCAATTTCAAAGACTTTCTTGAACATAATAAACAAAAATTAATAATTGTAAATTCTTAAAAATTAAAGAAAAATTATTAGGGTAGGCCTTGATTGTCGCGTTAAAGTTTCTTGACGGCAGTTTTTTTAAACTTTAGCTACTGTACAAAAAAAAGAAATTAGTTTACTTGAATTTTGAGGAAAGAAATTTTTAGACCAAAAAGTTTTAAAAATTTTTTAACCATTTTTTGTTTGAGTTTAATTGAAGTTTAATTTTAAAAAATTAAAAAACAAAATTTTAATACAAAGAGTAATTTCAAAGACCTTTTAGAAAATAATAAACATAATTCATTATTTGTTAACTAATACTAGCGTGCCTTAATTGTCGAAATTTGAAATTAAATTGAATAATTTTTTGAAAACACATTTTTTAAACTTCAGCTACTAAGTACAATACTATGGTCGAAGTTATTACATAAGGGTTTTCTTTAAGATTGAAGATTAAATATTATAAAGTGGGGTTACACCAGGAAAGAAATTTAGATTTATTTATGAATACACGTGAAATATAAATCATTTATTTTTTTTTATGCTCGGAATCGATACTACGACTTATCGAAGCTTTACATACGAATTTTTGTATCGAGTAGAAACTTTGATTTTTTGTTTAATATTTATAACTTCGTAATCTAACCTGTTTATCACACCCTAACAGCATAAAAATCAATAAATAAAATTTGTATCTATAGTGGCACTAATTTAATGCGTTACATTAAAAAAAATTTAATTTGATTTTTAATGAACCACCCTACTGCTCATTAGTATATGTATGCCAGCGCCTTAAGTTTTCCCCAGTTTGCCATAAAACGTTACTTCCTTGCAAAACTTAAATTTCTATTAAAGTAAAATTATGCACACACACACAAAAGAGTACCAGACGTGCGTTGTAGTGCCGCCCGGGGGACTTGGCAAGTGGAATGTGCCATCCTTCATAATAAACGAAATGAAAACTTCAACGTTATTACGCACATTTAACGTTCTTTTAGTGGAACTTTTTTTACTAGCTTTGTGAGCTTGCAATTTTTTACAACTTACCTTGCCTGACACTCCCCACACACAAAAAAAAAAACAAACGACAGGAACTAAATGAAGACAAACTTGCAAAAGTGTGGTAGAAGCGCGCATAAATACATACACACACACTTCTAAGAGAAAAAAAGTTTAAATAAAAATAAAGATATATATGAATACATATATACATATCTAAATACACTTGGATGCGTGTGTCGAAGCACAAAAGTTGTAAAATGCGGAGCAGTTACTAGTTTGTCGAGGGAATGCAAGAAAGTTAAGTATACGTCCCGGTGGATAGGTGGTGAAATTACGAAAGGGAATAGTGGCAAAAATATAAGTGCATGAGTGTGTATATGTGCGTTGTGCAAAAAAATCAATGCAGCACATAGCGAGCTTGTATATATGTTATATATATATACATATATATTTACCAAAATGGCGGAAAATGTACAAAACGAAGAATCTGCAGATATTTAGAATCGCAGCAGAAGGTGCATAAAAGTGTAGCAAAGCAGGAGAGCACGACAGATTAACAAAGTTGACGGACTCTTTGCTGCTTAAGCTCAATGGAAACAAGTTTTTTGATTTGTTTTTTTTTTGTAAATATGTAAGTGCGAGTATAAAAGCGATTTGGTATAAGGACTTTTGCTATACTTTCTGCGTAAGGCATTTTGGCACAAGTGTGAGTTGGTGTAACGGCACAAAAACTTCGGCATGTCGTGTTGCAAGTTTTTTTGCCTGCGTCTTAAATGTTTTTAAATGCCATTTTATCCGGCCGAATTGCCAGCGAGGCAAGCAAAAGTTCTTTCCTTCATTTAACTGTTGGAAATCTTGAATTTTTTTGGTAATTTTCTTTTGGCTCTGCATTTTTTATCTCTGAAAATATGTTGTTGCTAACGAATTTGTGTATAGTTGCATTTTCATTTCTCGGTATTCGTATTATTTGCGCTTTAAGCCTGGCGGATATTTAATGTTAAAGGGTAAAAGGGTATGCATTAAGTGTTGAATATATTTTGTGAGCAGTTTAGAACCAGATTTTGTACTAAAATTTTTTGTAATTTAGAAAACAGTTGCACCTTTATTGGTATGTAGATGGAAAAAAAACGTAGCAGTTAACTTATATACATTTTTCTAGTAGGAAATAATATAATATTTAATAAAATCTCAAGTTAATTTATTTTGCCGATTTTTATTATTTTATAATTTATATTTATAAAATAATATAAAGTTATAATATTTTTTGTTTGTATACATATACAAATTTTCAAATATTGGAAACACTAAATTTGGTATGTAGGTATGTCGATAAAAAAATTAATGTTTCTAAATAAATTCAAAATTAAATTAGTTTTAGTGCAAGAAGTATTTATTTTGTTTCACATAAACTTACACTTTTGGCATAGCCATTTTAATACAAATAAATTTTTTTTTATATTTGAATTTTAAAAAGTCAAAAAATTGTTAAAAGCAAAATAATTAATCATTTACAGTTTTTTTTTTATACAGCACCATCTTTGTTTTGCTAATTTCCACCAATTAAGTTAAAAATTAAATTTTTAATATATTAATAACGAGAATGGTAGTAATTTAAATTAAATTTAAAAAAATATTAAAATGTTAAAAAATGTGTCTGAGGTATATAATTAGAACATGAAATAAAAAGTATCAAAAATTGATAGAAATTTAAGAGAAGTTTTTAATAAAATGTTTAAAAGAATAAGGTTATCATTTTATTAAAGTTAAGGCTAGCCTATGATTTAAAAAAATATATTAAAATGCATTTTAAAGGCCTAGAAACAATTGAATAGCGGGAAAAAATGTTTGTTGTTCAATCCGCTGTAGTGTCGAAGCATTCGGGTTAGTTAGCTTCAGCACGTCAAACTTTAAGCTCGTTTTTATGCCTTGAACAGGGTATATTAAGTTTGCCACGAAGTTTGTAGCAACCAAAAAGATATGTTTGAGAATTTATAA